GAAAGAGTAGACTTCACCAAGAGCAAAATCTCCATCCTTTGCTTCCGAATTCCAAATGCCACATGCATGTCCAATTGCTTCAATACAAAAACATCTATCATACTCAAGAGACTTCCAAAAATTTGTTGCCACTATAAACAAGCAACGAGTCTCAATCAAAAAAGAAAATAGAAGGATGAAATGTTCAAACCATTTCATAGGCCCTACGCCTACCATTAACATTCACGACATCACAAACATTCCAACAAATTAAATTCAACTCTTTAAAGAGATTCATCATAGTTATATGAGAAAAATAGACGTGTCACGATTAGAGAACCATGTTCATCGCTATCCCGTGAAGATCATGACTGTGGAGACTTGTCCTAGGAGTTACAACATCCTCCATCTAGTTTGGGCCATCATCATGGCGATTATTAGATCGAATACCCCCTCCAAACATAGTCAGGCTTGAGGTATCCATGTCACCATCTTCCAATAACATAAAATATTAGTTGCTTTCCACATGTACAATGGAACATATTGTGTTTACACTATCACTTAAAACACGAGTCTAAGGAGACTTTTTTCATAAGTTTAAGCCCATTATTTTTAAACAAATAAGTTTTTTTTAAGCCTTGCTTTTTTATTAAATAAGTCATACTATACCAAACTTTAAATAAAAAAATCAATAGACTCCTGTTTAAGCTATAACTTATTTTCATTCCTACCTACAGTCGGGAGAGAATACACGCACTCCATCACTCACAATAAAAGTCCATATGAAAGAGAGTAAAAAAAGTGAAGTCTTTACAACATAAAATCTATATATATATATATATACTAGTGCGTTTGACATGTTATATATTTATTATATATAATTAATTTTTAATAATTTATGCATACAAATAAATGCTATTTTTGGACATATAAAATATGTTTACAATTTGTATAAGTATTTTTTAAAGCATAAAATTTATATTTTTTATCTGTGATAAATAATTTATATTGTGATTCAAGATTATTTTAATTATTAATAATTTATTTTAAAATATTAAAATTTAAACTCATAAATAAATAGGACAAATAAAAAAAATTATTTAGTTAAGAAATTAAAAAATTCCAAAAGTGTTATTGTTGCACAAAATAACCAATTTACATTTAATATATAAGATTTGATATAGGACATACCTAATGACATGTATTATTATGAGAGATGTGAGGCTTAGTGATAAATAATAGCCTTCAAATTATAAAATAAAAAATTAATGATTAAAATTAAAACTCAATCAAACATTATTCTATTAAATTATTATTATTGTACATTCCACGACTATTATTACCATTGGTTTTGTTGCTAATAGCGCAACCACCTTATGACTATGACAATAATGTATTGATTATGATGTTAGTGACAATGTCTCCCTTAACATAATCACTATCATTGTTACACTACAAGAAAAATGCTGATTTCCGACAGAAATTTTCGACGGAAATAGGTAAATTTCCGACGGATTTTGCTTTTTCCGACGGGTTTCCGACGGATTTCAATCCGTCGAAAAAGTGGCGTCCCGTCGGAAATAATTTTTTCGACAGAATTTTCCGACAGAAAATTCTGTCAGAAATTTCCGACAGAAAAATCCGTCGGAAATTGCTGTCAAAATTTCCGACGGAAAAATCCATCGGAAATTGCTGTCAAATTTTCTGACGTTCTTAATGCACAGAATAAGGTTATAAAATTTTTAAAAATTTAAAAAATATTTTATACTTCATTTTATTAATTCAAATCAACGTATAAAATATTTTTATGATTATTTGTTAATTTGAATTAATGTCAAATCAAAATATAAAATATTTTTGTAATTATTTATTAATTTGAGTTAATAAAATGAAGTATTAAATAATTTTAAATTTTTTAAAACATTTCAAACTTGGTTTATGCATTTAGTACTTTTAATTTAACGACTGAATCATTGAAATTTGATATAAAACATATTGGGTGAAGTAAGTTTATGTAAACTTATTTTAAGAGAGTTCAAACGTAACTTTTATTAATTATTATACCGCTCGATAACTTTCAGTTAAATGAGAATTTTTCAAATTTACCGTTAGATTAAAAGTTTTCTACACCTAAATTACATTTAAACTATTTCATATTAATCCAAAATTATTTAATACCTCATTTTGTTGAATAATTTTTTGGTAGTGTGTCTCTGATTCTAAGGCGCAAAGAAGTATTTGCAAGCTAACCTGGTAAGGCAATAAAAGCATCTGAATGCTTCGCCATCTCTGCCTTCCTTTGGTGCATATCAGCAACAGCTTTTACTTCTCCCACTGTTTCACCAGTTAGCTGCAAAAGGGTATCAAAGAAAGAGCACTTAGTAATGATGAAAGTTGCAGGAACCATAATCTGATTCATTTAACCTATTTCTATAACATATAAACAGGAGATACTGAAGCAGTAGTGGCAGATATTGCAGTGGAATATTCGTGTACAAGATAAAAGAAACAAAGTATTAATAACAAAACTGTAAAATAGTTAAGTTTTGAAATAGAAAACGTGCTTATGAAGTTTGGAAAAGTTGGAATAGAATACATGAATAGAAGAATCCTTGATGAAGATGAGAACAAATTATAAAATAAGAAACACAAGTAGGAATAGTTTATTGCAAGAGAAGAGAAAAGGGGTTAAGCTTTTTCTAATGGATGAAGCAGACATACATACCTCTCGAGGCATGAGCGTCTTGGGAATAACTCTGCAAGAGACAATAACATGACAAATTTAGCATCAATGGTGAAAGAGAGCAACAAAAGCACTGTGGTTACTCATTGACTATGAGTTCATGTTATTTCCTTTTACCCAACATCTTTGGGGGAAAAAAGAGAAAGGGGAATTAAAAAGTAGAAGTGTGAGAAAAAGAGTGTTATGTTACCCAATGACATGGCGACCACCATCATGAACAGCTTGTGAAACCAATCCCATTAGACCAATGCTTCCCCCTCCATACACCAGATCGATGTTCCTTGAGACCTTCCAATACACCATTCAAAATAATATTAATCAGCCTAGAAATAGTAACAATAGTGGTGGCTATCATTGTGTATGAGTACAAAAAAACATTAAGAGTAATGAATGACACTTTAGAAAACAATCCCATGAGAGAGCATTATTTACTGTTTGAAAATGTAAGACCGAGTAAAAGGGAAAATGATTCCTCGACTCTCACTCAGCAGAGGGCACTTGTGAAGTCCGTACACCTTTTTCAGCTCAGAGCGACTGAGCCAAAAGCTCAAGAAGTAAAAACAATGGCTTCAAGCTCTGAGAACCGAAAGGTAACATATATCTAAACACGCAAAGAGAAAAACTATGCAAAACTTTACAGTTTGAGAATGTTTGAGGTTGTTATTGTTAACCAAGACACAAGTCATTGTTTCGAGGTAAGCAGCATGAAACTTGATTTTGCCTAAGACCATGAACCCAAATGAAGTTCACATTCAGAATGGAAGCAAACTACTAAGACCCCATCAGAAATTTTTTTATTTTTTGGAGATTTTAAGGAAAAGAAAAGAAAAAGTAAAATGTGGATGAAAAAGGAAGAGATGAATAGCGTACCAATTCGTTGCCAAGTTGAATGGCAGCATCTTGATAACTAGTTTTCTTGCCGGGGCTACTACCACAGAAGACACAAATCCTCTTGAACTTTGAATGCATTATCTCACTTCGTGTGTCCATTTGTTAGTTGTAAGGTGGATAGTTAGTTATATTAACTTACACACACACACACAGATTTTGTAACGTGTTTGAGTCTGCCTCCAAATTCTTTTTTCTAACACTAACTTCCCCTGTTTAGAAATACAAGTGTGAGTGTAAAGGAAGCAGCAAACACAGCACAAACACAAAATTACAGTCCTACTACACAAGACTCTATGCTTGCTTCGCTACTACTCTTCAGAGTCTCATCATGCCTTTATATAAAAAAGAAACCACGTAGGTCTTCGCACGTGACCGCCTTAGAAGTTGGCACGCGCGGACTCTACTCTCGTGCTCCCATCCCATTTGTGCCCCTATGTATATATACGCAAATTAGTGTTGATGAAATACTACTAATAACTTCAACCAATATTGAGTTTAAAACTTTAAAATCATGTCTTCAACACAATTCCAAACAAAATTTATCACTTACATGTATATATATATATAGAGATAAAGAGAAAGAGAAATATATTTACTCAATAATAAGTCTACTTAAATTTATTTTGTTTAATAATACATGTTTTATATTAAATTTTAATGATTCGACTATTAAATTAGAGGTTCTTAATGCACAGAATAAGGTTATAAAATTTTTAAAAATTTAAAAAATATTTTATACTTCATTTTATTAATTCAAATCAACGTATAAAATATTTTTATGATTATTTGTTAATTTGAATTAATGTCAAATCAAAATATAAAATATTTTTGTAATTATTTATTAATTTGAGTTAATAAAATTTCCGACGGAAAATTCCGTCGGAAATTTCCGACAGAAAATTTCGTCGGAAATAATTTCGTCGGAAATTTTCCGGCAGAAATTTCCGACGGATTTATTATTCCGTCGGAAATTTTCGACGGAATTTTTCGTCAGAAAGTTTCTATCGAAAATTTCCGACGGATTTATATTTCCGTCAGAAATTTCCGACGGAAATTTTCTGACAGAAAATTCTGTCAGAAATTTCCTACAGAAATATAAATCCGTCGGAAATTTTTGACGGATCCATATCCGTCGGAAATTTACATTTTTCTTGTAGTCTTAGAGCATCTACAATGGGAGTTGCTTATAAGCAACTCCCAATCACTTTAAATGGGTCTCACTGTGCCATATCACTCATAAGCAACTCATACTATATATTTACAATTTTTGCTCCAATGAGAATTGCTTATAAGCACCCTACTTTTTTACAACTCATACTACACTTTTTGACACCTCACACTACATTTTATGATATTTTTATAAAATTAATTATTATAAATAATATATAAATATAAATAATTAACAAAACAAATTACATAATTAAAAAATTACAATAATAAAAAAATATCAAAAATTACAATAATAAAAATTACAATTAAAAAATTACAATAATAAAATAATATTAAAAATTACAATAATAAAATTATAATAATAAAAATTATAATAAAAAATTACAATAATCAAAAAATTGCAACAACTCTTTCTCTCACACGTCTCATTTTTTTCTCCTCGGTCTCTCTTTCTCTCAAATTCTCAAAGGAACGCTCTCCCTTTCTCTCTATTTACTGAGCCACGCACGCGGGGGAGGGGGTTCCGGTCGGCAGCCGCGCGCAGGGGGAGGGGGTCTGGTGGGAGCTGCGCGCACGGGGGAAGGAGGTCGCGCGCGGAGGGGCAAGCGGAGGGGTTCTGGGTCGCACGCAGGGGGTTCTGGCGCGGTGGTTGCGGTGGTTCTGGCTGCCGTTCTGGTCACGCGGGGGTCGCCGGCTGCCGTTCTGGTCATGCGCGGAGGGTGTCGGAGGAGACGAAGATGAGCTACGTTCTTTTCAAAAAAAAATTTATTTTCTTAAATCTGAACCATTTTCCAGGTAGATGCATTTTAGCCAATCAGAGTTCTCTCCTCAATGCTAAGCAACGTGCCTTGTACAAGCAACACTGACAAATTTTTAAGCAACTCAAATGCCACGTAAGATCACTCCAATGAGAGATTTTAATAAGCTCCGTTGCTTATTTTTAAGGCACAGCACAAGCACCCTCCGCTGAAGGTGCTCTTACTGTTACTATCATTATTATTGTTGGTTGATTAATTATAGTGGTGACGATAATGATAAAGATGATGTATGGCGATGATTATGGTAATTACAAAAGTAATAATAATAATAATAATGTAATAAAACGTACGATTTTTAATGAATGAATAAAAGTCATCATATTAAATTAAATTGAATGGTTAGACTCTGGTATCACATTAAAATTTAACACCTTATATCATTTGATCTTATAACACAAATATGATGAAAAAAGATTCACTTACTCAACAATTCACATGATCCTATAACACAAATATAATAAAAAAAATTCACTTACTCAACAATTCACATGATCTTATAACACAAATATAATAAAAAAAATTTACTTACTCAACAATTCACAAAATCTTATAACACAAATATAATTAAAAAAAATTCACTTACTCAACAATTTACGATATAAATTTTAACGATCCATTTTATTTATATACATCAAATTTAAATGTCCTTTTTAATTATATGCAGAATAAAATATCAGTTAAATGAAAAATTAAAATAATAATTTTGCCTGTCCTTTTTCTACCATATCCATGTTGCACAAAAAATATATAAATATAGTAAACTTTTTTACCAAACCCTTTATCGTGGTCAATAAATTCTACCAATCTTGTAATACTGCAATTTTGACTTCATGGGCCCATTCATTGATTTCTGTGACAATGAACATTCCGCGAAAGCTCATATCAAAACTGCGCCCTACGATTCTGAATTATTTATTTACTACAGTAGTAAGAGCAAACGTCACTTGACAACCTTTAACACTTGTTTCATAATTTGCATTTGTATTTTGATTCGGTTATCAAAATATTTTTTTAATCTTTATAAAATATTATAATATTACAATCATAACAACTTAAATCTTTGGTATATATTTTGATTCGGATATCAAAATATTTTTTTAATCCTTATAAAATATTATAATATTATAATCATAACAACTTAAATCTTTGGTATATCTATTCCGATTTATTATCCTTAGGTAAGTGGGTTTAATTTGATTTTGATATAATTACACTTCGAAAATGATCTTTTAATAATTAATTAAAAGATATTATTTATTATCTATCATTCAAATGGCATTTAAATATATTGGTTAAAAAAGTACTTCCTCTTTCTATAAATTATTTTTAAAAATAATAAATAATAAAAAATGTAAACATCAAATAAGATAATTTTTTTAATTAATAATCTAAATATTAAAATAACCCAATGCCAAACAAATTAGGCTCTCATTAATTTTGGTGTAAAAAATACAAGAAGAAAAAACATATCGGTCAAAATAAATTATTGAAGAAGATTCGAGATGAAGCTACAGTTTTGCAGTGAGAGATGTAACCTAAGACCGCAACTGCTGACTGGACAGTACACATGCAACACAACGGCCAATCAAAGGATGCCAAGTCATTGTTAGAAAATTTCAATTTCAATTTTCTGTTATTGGTTAATTTAAAAAATGATGGTAATTAAACAGAAAGAAATCCATAGTAATCTGGTAGGATGGTACCACGAATTTTCGTCCCACACTAATACTAGTATATTATATATAGTATAAGCCTAAACCAGTATGAAAAGTAATGGCCGGTCAGCATTAGCATAGCCACGCACTAAACTAGAGAGAGAAAGTTGTGGCACAAAACAAATTCCATCCAATAGCTTAGCTTACTGGGTAAGCACATTCTACGATGCGTGTGGCGTTGCATAGTTGAAAACCTTTCCCTTTCATGCTTTTCCTTTTTTCTCACTTTCAGTTCTCACGAGAAACCCAACCCAACCCAACCCAACGTCCCTTCCGCTCATCTCAGAGCAACAAACCAACCTCCAGTTAGTTTTCGCGATCTCACACTCCAATTCTCCTTTCCATAATTAAACGCCGTCGTCTCATTCTCCGCCAACTACCTATAAGTTCTTCTTACTTTCACCAAACTTCCAATTAGGGTTTCTTATTAGGATCGCCGCATCGAGAGCTCCATAGATTCCACCGAGTTTTTCCTTCGTTTATGAATTGACGGGAGAAACAATTTTTTCATCGAGAAATTGTTTTCTCCGTGTTTAGTTAGATCTGAATGGGGAAGGGAGGCCAGGATTATGGGAAACGGGAGAACACGAGTTCCGAGGCTTCGGACCGTGAAATCTTCAAGGCCTGGGCCAAGGACGTGAGCGACTGCGAGGAGCACTTCAAGGTCAGTGTGAAGAAGGGTTTGAGTCACGACGAGGTCGACAATCGCCGCAAGATCTATGGCTTCAACGAGTTGGAGAAGCACGAGGGGCAATCCATATGGAGTCTGATTCTTGAGCAGTTCAACGACACGCTCGTGAGGATTCTCCTCGCCGCTGCCATCATATCCTTCGTGCTCGCCTGGTACGACGGCGACGAGGGCGGCGAGATGGAGATAACGGCGTTCGTGGAGCCTCTGGTGATATTCCTCATACTAATCGTGAACGCGATCGTTGGGGTGTGGCAAGAGAGCAATGCGGAGAAGGCGCTTGACGCGCTCAAAGAGATTCAATCGGAGCACGCGATGGTGGTTCGTGATGGCGCCAAAATCCCTAGTTTGCCGGCGAAGGATCTCGTTCCCGGCGACATAGTGGAGCTTAAGGTTGGGGACAAGGTCCCTGCCGATATGCGTGTCGTGCAATTGATTAGTTCCACTTTACGATTGGAGCAGGGTTCTTTGACTGGGGAGAGTGAAGCGGTGAATAAGACTAACAAGCCTGTTGAAGAGGATGCTGATATTCAGGGGAAGAAGTGTATGGTTTTCGCGGGGACCACTGTTGTTAACGGGAATTGCATTTGCTTGGTCACTCAGATCGGGATGGACACTGAGATTGGGAAGGTGCACAAACAGATACACGTGGCCTCTCAGAGTGAGGAGGATACCCCCTTGAAGAAGAAGCTCAATGAGTTTGGAGAGAATCTGACCATGATAATTGGACTGATATGTATTTTGGTTTGGCTCATCAATGTCAAGTACTTCCTTTCCTGGGAAATTGTGGATGGATGGCCCAGGAACTTCAAGTTTTCGTTTGAGAAGTGCACCTATTACTTTGAGATTGCTGTGGCACTCGCCGTGGCTGCTATTCCGGAAGGTCTGCCTGCAGTCATCACGACTTGCCTGGCTCTAGGGACTCGCAAGATGGCCCAGAAGAATGCCCTGGTTCGGAAGCTACCGAGTGTGGAGACTCTGGGTTGTACCACTGTGATTTGTTCGGATAAAACCGGGACATTGACTACTAACCAAATGGCTGTGTCAAAATTAATTGCTATCGGCCATAACATGGATACACTAAGAGCATTCAAGGTGGAAGGAACTACGTACAATCCAGCTGATGGACAAATAGAGAACTGGCCAACTGGTGGATTGGATGCTAATCTTCAAATGATAGCAAAAATAGCTGCGGTCTGTAATGATGCTGGGGTTGCGCAGTCAGAGCATAAGTTTGTTGCCCATGGAATGCCTACTGAAGCAGCATTAAAGGTAAAACTCCCTATTTATTTGATATGTATGGCACACTTCTCATTCACTGTTTGCAATTTACCTTTACCACTGCAGGAAGTATCTTTTTGAATAATTAGTTTGAGCTCTAGATTAGCGGTATCAACTTAGCTATGTTTTTCTTGTTATTTTTAACCATCCCTAGGTTATTTCATTCTAATCCATTCATGTGAATTCTTTGGCTTTAGACAGTAAAGGAGTTTGACAGTTTTTTTGTACTCTCATGGGACTCCAGGTTTTGGTTGAGAAGATGGGCCTTCCTGAAGGATCCAAGGATGTGGGATTGGGAAGCACATTGCTACGTAAGTTGATTTAGTTTGTATGTGACAAAACTTGTGTGGATTTACCAAGGCAAATAGTTTGATGTCTCCTCTGAATATACCTAAGCCACTTTCAAAAGGACTTTTTTCTCTTAAATTTAGTTGTTTATAACTGGAAAGTAAGATTGCTATTCTTTATTAAAGGCTTAAAGATATTTGTAAAATGTTTCTTTGGTCAACAGGATATTTCCTTTCATGTACTCTTAAGTTTTTTATTTTATTTTATTTTTTTGTTTGTTCTAATGGATTTAGAACTCGGCAAAAAGGCCACATATACGAGTTAGTTTTGAAAACATTCAATAAATGTTATTAATTTTCTTTACCTTCAAATTTCAATTTAGGTTGTTGTGAATGGTGGAATGAGCATGACAGACGGATTGGTACTCTTGAGTTTGACCGTGATAGGAAGTCAATGGGTGTTATTGTGGACTCTGGTCTAGTCAAACCATCACTTCTAGTCAAGGTATTATCTCTTTGTTACCTTTCTTCCTACATAGACAGTTCATTTATATTCTTTTTCAGTTTTTTGTACTATGTATTAATACTAGGGGAGTGGCAAGACAGGTTAAGTTGGAAGCGTATATGATTTTTATCACGTGGTTTACTGTGAAATAAATTGAAGACACGTTTCTTTTAAATCAAATCTTTATCTTTATTTAAGGTATTTTTATTCTTCCCCTGGAATTGGTTTTATCTACACTGGAACTAAAGCTAAAAATTACTCCTTGTCACCATTTACTAATAAATTGAGAACAAAAATTAGTGTTTAACTTTTCAAGTAATATCCCAACTTCCGAAAATACATGTTTTGAGAAGCAAGTCTATAAAACCGGAGTTATACACGTTGGGTCAAAGCTGGTGTAGCACAATTTTCTTATTACCAGTTCTGTACAAACAGAGTGCTGTTGGATGAACAGATAATGTTTTCCAAATTGAATTCCATGACAAGGGCGTTTATATATGTCTGTGTGTGTGTGATAGATCATTCTTCATCTCATTATCTTCTCATTTTGCCTGTAAGCATATTTGTTGGACTTATGGCAGTTTTTGTTGATCAATCCATACATGAGCCTAAGCTTGCTTTTGTTCTTTCTGCTTCTGATTTCTTTTTTCTCATCACTGGGAAATATTTTTAACTGGCATTGGTCCCTCATTTTGGTAGGGTGCGGCAGAAAATGTGCTGGACAGGAGCTCTAAAATTCAGTTGCGTGATGGTTCTATTGTGAAACTAGATGATAATGCTAGGAAGCTCATATTGCAAGCTCTTCATGAAATGTCAACTAGTGCATTGCGTTGTTTGGGATTTGCATACAAGGACGAGCTCCCTGGATTTGATAACTATAGTGGAAAAGATGATCATCCAGCTCACCAGCTTTTGCTTGATCCTTCCAACTATTCATCTATTGAAAGTGAACTTATTTTTGTTGGCTTGGTTGGATTGAGGGTAAGTTTTGAGCTTTTGTTTTATATTTCATGCTTTCTCACTTTCATCATATTCATATCTGTTTGATGTGCTAACTTTGTGAAATTGAATATTGAATTGTGCTTAGGATCCTCCTAGGGAAGAGGTATACCAAGCAATTGAAGACTGCAGAGAAGCTGGAATTCGTGTTATGGTTATAACTGGAGACAACAAGAACACTGCTGAAGCTATATGCCGTGAAATAGGTGTATTTTCACCTGATGAAGACATTAGTTCTAAAAGTTTAACTGGTAGAGATTTTATGGAACTGCGTGATAAAAAGGCCTATCTGAGACAGAATGGTGGGCTTTTGTTTTCAAGGGCTGAACCTAGGCACAAACAAGAAATTGTGAGACTGCTTAAAGAGGAGGGAGAGGTGGTGGCCATGACTGGGGATGGTGTTAATGATGCACCTGCCTTGAAGCTTGCAGACATTGGTGTTGCAATGGGTATTGCAGGGACAGAGGTATTGTGTTTTCATTGTAATCAATAAGTGGCTTTTGGTATAACTAACAAGTAAACATTAGTGGTTGATGTGTGTTTTTTAATTGGAAGATGTTAATCTTGGAAATGCTTGTGTTATGAAGTATTGACTCAAATCTGATGTGTTGGGTGTTGTCTCATTGACTGATAATTGTAATTAGTTAGATTATAGAATTCCAATTAATAATGTTATTTATTTGTGGCAACTCATTTTTTTCTCATGTTAATCCAATGAAGGTGGCGAAGGAAGCTTCAGATATGGTGTTGGCAGATGATAATTTTAGTTCAATTGTTTCTGCTGTTGGTGAGGGTAGATCTATCTACAATAATATGAAGGCTTTTATCAGGTGATTCTGATTGTCTTTAAATAACTTATGCAACGCATGAGACACGTGGTTACTTTACGATAGGCTTTTGCACAATTGGTGGTCTTTCTGATGATTAGCAATTGGCATATAATATCTAATTTATTGGTTAGTTATGTGCATAAGTCACTACTGTAAATAAATGATAATTTCCTATTTTACTTCATCTTTCAATCTGTGCTTAGTTAATAGCTCAAAAGTACAATGAAAATTGTCTTCAACATTGAGTTTTTACACTCTTCTTTACAATTAGGTTTCATATCAGGTATTTTTACTATGTCTATCCCATATTGTTTGAAACATGGGAATCAGTTGTTATTGACTAACAAGTTGTATTTGTTTGGTTTAGTCTGGATTTTGGAGCAGTGTTCATTTATTTTTGTCTTCAATAACTGATATGTTATGATGAGGTTGGAGCAGGTCCTATTTTGCTAGACTACTTTTTTTATCAATCCTAAGGTGCTTACATCAGAATTTGATGTCTAGAACCTTCAGTAGAGATTTTGTTGTTTAGAACTTATAACGATTCTAAAATGCGTATTTCAGAAGTTTCTGATTGTAAAGCACTCAAAATATTGAACGGCATTGCATGATTTTCCTTGTACATGATATATTTGTTTAGGTTTTAGGGTTTATCAGTTACCTGTATTTGAAGAACCTTCTAAAATGTTTAAAATCAAAGTTAATATTATCTTGCAAGTTATAACTGAAATTAATTTTACAGGTATATGATTTCTTCCAATATTGGCGAGGTTGCTTCTATATTTTTAACAGCTGCACTAGGTATTCCTGAAGGATTGATACCTGTCCAGCTTCTGTGGGTCAATCTTGTCACAGATGGACCCCCTGCAACAGCTTTGGGATTTAATCCTCCAGATAAGGATATAATGAAGAAGCCTCCTCGTCGCAGCGATGACTCATTGATTAATTTGTGGATTTTATTCCGTTATCTGGTAATTTGCCTTTTTTTTTTTCCCTTCCCTTTCGGTTGTACATGTGTACCTTTTGTTGGGCTTTATTTTGTGTCAAATGCTGATAATTTACGTGGATTACTTATATCTAATCTTCTCCTTGATGTATTACTTCATAGGTTATTGGAATTTATGTCGGATTAGCTACAGTTGGTGTCTTCATCATATGGTATACACACGGTTCCTTCTTGGGTATTGACCTTAGCGGGGATGGACATACTCTTGTCACTTACTCCCAACTTGCCAACTGGGGTCAGTGCTCCTCATGGAAGAACTTCACTGCTTCTCCATTCACTGCTGGTGCTAAAACTATCACTTTCGACAATCCCTGCGATTACTTTCAGACTGGTAAAGTGAAAGCTATGACATTGTCCCTTTCTGTGTTGGTAGCCATTGAAATGTTCAACTCTCTCAATGCCCTATCTGAAGATGGAAGCCTTTTGACAATGCCCCCTTGGGTCAATCCTTGGCTTCTTTTGGCAATGTCAGTATCATTTGGTCTGCACTTTTTGATCTTGTACGTGCCATTCTTAGCTCAGGTATTTGGTATCGTGCCCCTGAGCTTCAACGAGTGGCTTTTGGTTTTGGTTGTTGCATTACCCGTCATTCTAATTGACGAGATTCTGAAATTTGTGGGGAGGTGTACAAGTGGATCTCGTACAAGAAGATCAAAGCAAAAAACAGAGTAGACGATATGCTATACTCATTAGAAAAGTTGCTCAATCCTTCAGCGATGTGGACATTATTATACTCGAGACTGAAGAGATGGCTTCAACGCCAATTAATCTTAAGTTAGTGCAATTTTAGGCTTCACTGTAGTCTTCATCCCATTTTATAATGAGGGATGACTGGGCCTGCATTGGGTGCACTATATGTTGGATTTTTTTTAATCTTTTATTATCTTTTTGCCCCTGTTCTTTGAACTTTTTTTAAGATTTTCACCAGAAAAAGGGAAAAACCTTTGATTTCTTTTTCAAATTTGTCTGACTGAAGTCAGCTTCTAGTTTCTTGTTTGTTAGAGTTGTTTGCAAAGATGGTTGGAATTTGATCAATCCTAAAATTGGAAGAAGAGAAATGTAATCCTATTTGTCCTTGATAATTGGTGGGTTTGCATCAAGGAAATATTTTTGTGGGAAAATTGAGAGTAAGCAGAGTAACGGCAATTTGTCCTTTAGTTAATCATTGATGAAAGCGTTACTCAATGCAATTGTATTTCAGTAGAGTTCATCAACATGTTTAGGTGTAGAGAATAGAAGTGAAAGAAAAGTTGATTTTTTTTATAATTTTTTTCTATTCTTTTAAAAAAGAAGTGTACGTGTGTATATATAAAAGTATTTTTCTTTAATTATTTAAGAAAAAAATGGCATTTTTATTTGTTTCACATAATTTCTTCCTTTTCTCCTTCAATGTAAAAAATGAGGGAAGTCTACACTTCTCAATTTTCTCCTCTTCTTCCTTTCACGATTCTAATTAAGCAACTATAGCGATAATGTGAGTGCATAAATCATTGGGGGAATGACACTCAGTGTCTCCGCGGTGTCAGTGCACAGATCTTTATGATATGTATCTGCTTGAGCACGATGTGTTCCAAACAATAATCTCTAGAGCGCATTTTCATTGTAAGAAAGCAAAGTGGAACTGTACTATCGATGTCCCATTGTTTGTTTCAATTTAAGATGAAGTCACCATCTTGCATCTGTTTAAAGAATGACGGGGAGATTGATAGGCAACTGACAAGCAAAAATATTAAAAGTGAAGAGAAGGGTGACATATGATTAGTTCGATCGATTGTGACCCTCTTGCTAACTCCATCCTCTTCTTTTTGACTAATGGATTCTATTTTTCTTATGTTAGAATTCTCTTTCAGATTGGGTCATTTTGGACCTAGCTGGATTAGCCGTTTTAAGAGGTGGAAAAAGCTAAAATACAATAATTGTTTGTCCGTGACATATTTTAATATTAATCTGTTCAATCGTAAGTATTCGTCTGTTTTATCCATACTATATTCATGATGTCAAAATCTCTTCGCATGTAAATATTTTCAGTCATAAATTAATGAACTTAACACATTTTTAACTAGAATTAAGTTTATCCAAAATCGATTTTACAAACTCCAATCTAAATACATACCAAGTCACTCTTAAAAGAAGTAGACGTTAATTTTGATGTGTAAAGAGTCTTCCACTATAATATCAACCAATGAAATAACATATTTGGTGTTTTAAAGTGAGAATTAAATATGTATTTAGTTGTGAACTTTTGTTAATTTTTATTTTTACTTTTTGAAAAATTTTATTCACTAATTTTAGTCTCTACATTTTTTGTTGATTTTTATTTTTAATTTTTAAACTTTTTTCCATTAATATTTTGGTTTCATTTGTCGAGATTTTTTGTTCATGTAAAAAAATTACACAAACTAAAACCAAATAAATTTTATTGAGGAATTAAAAATAAAAATTGACAAAAATTTAAGAATTAAAAACATATTTGATTCTTAAAGTAATTATCATAAAAATTAATAATTTTTAATGATACAATAATTTTAGACCGATTCATTATGTAAAAAGTTCTTTAATAAATATGTCAGTGTTTTATGATTAAATTAAAATTTAATTTATAAATGTAAACATAAAATAATTAATTTAAAAATATATGTAATTGTGACTCAAAATTTGGTGTATTGTATTTATCATTATATGGTCTTTTGTTTCTATATTCTTATTGGTTCAATATGTTTTCATCAGTTTGATAAATTCAACCTATATAATCTATGTTAAGTGGTAAGTGTAAGTATGGAAGAGTGAGAACGCAAGTGCATAATTTTTTAAGGAGATAAGTAAAGAGAATATAATAAGAAAAAAAATTGGAAATTGAATAAGAAATTTAAACCTAAGAATAATAAAATTGTTTAATTTCAAAATTTCCGAAGCATAAACTAAACATTTTACAATTACACGTCTTAATAAAAATATAATAAGAACTTATTTTACATTTCAATGAGGAATAATTATATTTATAATTATGAAGGTGGATCGACGAATACAAGTTCACGCATGAAAATTAAGTTCTAATGAGAAAAATACAAATTATTATTTCTTTTTAAAGAGCACAAATTATTAAAAAGTATCACATTTGTTATTAAGATAAAAATTAACATGACGTTAGATTTTATAACTCATTTCTGTTGTTTCTATAATTTGTGAATGAGGATCTCCTTTGCTTTTCTATCATATGTATCACCTAATCCAATATGCATGGAAAGTGATGATATAGAAAGTCTTACATTGTTTACTTTATTTATTAGAGTGCAATTTTTAGGCTGAACAATATTAATTTATTAATATTTCCACCAAAACAAAAATTTGACTGAACTAATTAAAAATTAAAAGAAACAAAAAATCTCTTCTAAAAGTGTTTTTCTCTACCCAAGTAGATGGAAGATACAGCGCTTCCACTCTAGTACGTTAGATATAACATCCACACCTAAACTATGCTATACATTACGAATAATATTAGTGTATATATTTGTTGCTTTAAAATATTCAACATTCAGAAAACCATCATGCAATAAGTTTCGGCCACGTAATCAACTTGGTGGTGCTATCAGCGACGTGGGGTTTTGGTTTCGTATAGAATCGAATGCGTGCCAAAAGGAGAATATGGATTAGGATGTGTTTGGTGACCTCTTTTTGTGAATCAGTCCAAAGCTAACATTTAACAAATAATAAACCAATTTGAAGCGATTGACTGCACGCAGTTTATGTTTCAGCACTTGACAAGGATAACACAATTTGCTGTAACCAACATATCAAACGAGCTTTGTGCGTAAATGATTGGTCATCTCCCAACTGTGCTTGGACTTGGATGTTATTAACTTTTTGGTTGAGACTTTGATCACTCCACCACGTTTCCAAAATAAAACTAAAATGCAACAACCCAAATATCCAATTAACGATTTTGTTAACATGGACAAGAAAAAGTAGCGTTGGATGCATTGTGGATTTTTTCCCGACGCTGACACCTTACCAAGCTCCTTCCAAGCTGGTGGGGCTAATACCATACGTACGTCAATCGTCGCAAGTTATGCAGAACCAAGTTTCATCCAAAACAAAACCTAATACTATGTCTATGTTGGAACATATAAATCTCATTCACTTTGTTTTCAATTCAAAGTTAATTTAGATATGATACACCATTAATGAGGCACAAAATAAATATATACCGAAAAATCATGTTCATTAATATTTTAATACGTTATATCGCATTTACCATAAAATGTGTGAAATATATATATATATATATATATATATATATATATATA